GGGGGGGAATTTTTCTTTTCTCAGATTTTGGCTGGACGGCCCTGAGACGAAAAGGCATCGCGTCGTGTCACCGTTTCACGAGTGTCAAGGGAGACTTCTGCGTCATGCCGCGAGAACTGGCTGGTAGCGTGTTCCGGAGGAGTGTTACCGGAGACGCCCTCCCGAGCATGAGGAGTAGGCCGACAACAACTAAAAGGTGAGCAACCAAGGGGGTTGTAGGTGTCCTAGGGAAAGAAGTGTTTTGGAAGAGTATCTCTTTCCTGTAGTATGGACGCCGTGCCGGGGACGTTGGAGTCGAGTACTTGTTGTTTTTTTTTTTTCTCTCCTTGGCTACATCTAACACCACCGTCAACTTAGGACGTTCCTATTAAAACAAAAAAAAAAAATCCTTAAGTGTTGAAGTTTGTTTATTAATAGAAGAAAAAATCAGACCAAATTTGACATTACACAGTCACACACACACACACACACACACACACACACACACACACACACACACAACACACACAACACACACACACACACTACGACACACACACACACACCACATATACACACACACATTTTGCCTTTTTTCATTTCGGCGAAAAGTTAATGTACCTGATAAGAATTTAGAAACGACAATAAACGTTAACACTAGTTAGAAAATAATATTTACAGACTACTTACCAACGTCGAGTTAAGTAACCACTTGGTGAACCATATATATATGGTTATTGTCAAACATTTTAGTAGATAGGACCATTAATTACCTTAAATGAATAGTAGAAAGTGGTAATTACTCTTTATGGATTAATTAATTACATTCATAGATTATTAATACATATTGAGTTTTCATGGAGGTAATAACATGAATCATTCACAAGGACTACTATATCTCCACAATTGACGATATACACCTTGTAAATATTTCAGGTTATTTCTTTACTATTATATAACCAAAGAGATTATGACTAGTCTATATGTATGAGAGACACGATGGTTTTCGAACGACAGACGCAAGAGGAAATAGATGAAAATATTTTAAGCATTACCCGAGCAGGTGAGGGTCGGGTGTTTACTGACATGCAAGTACAACTCTTTAAGGATCACCGTCCTATGAGAGCGACAGAGTGACGCCCACGATGACATTATCAGAAAGAATAAGAGGTAATAGTCCTACTATCTGATGAACTCCGTTTCCATCGCAATGTTGAACAAGTATTAGGAGTGAGGATGACTGTGAGTAACAACAGTCTTTATACCAAACTCATAAAAACAGGTGTATATAAACAAGTAATGGACGATTTTATCTTGGTTAACCTTGGGTTACCTGGGGTAGGGAAATCTTTAACCATTTTGTAATCCTTACAAGTAAATCAAGTCAGCTATGATGACACCTTGACAAGACATGGGAGGATGATTACAATAGGACGCAAATAGTTTCCAAATTTTAAGGACAGTCCATGGTGCTACGTAATAACCGACACAGTAAGTCACCGTCGACACTTTAAACACAATAGTAATTGTTACTGTGCGAAACTAGACCACTATGT